GAAGTTTCAGAAATACTAAGGAAGGCTTTATTTAAAAGGCAGCAAGGTCCCAGCACGCACTGGTATGGCTCGCGAACAACGTGGAGGTGGTGGTGGGGCTGGGAGGGGGGATGGTCACATAAAAATTAAGGATCAGCATAACATGGGCCGTGCAGGATGAAGAGAAATCTGGACCAGAATCAAGAACTGCTCTCATAGCTACTTAAGAGATTTCACCAGCTCCCCAGTGCAAAGAAACTAAAAAATAATATCAGAACTGCTTCGTATATCACTTATAGTCATAGTACTGAGCTGAGGATATTATTCTATCCTCAAGATACTGAGATGTTGAAATAATTTCTTTGAAACCTTGTAGCCCAAAAAATAAGGTACAGGGGCCCTCCTGTATTACTTCATTACTAATTTAAGACTTGGTCAATTTGTTGTGCATAAGGACATTCTCATCCTAAGCATTAAATATTTATTGTGTGGACTCCCTTGGGATGAGAGATTATTTTCAGAGAGGAATTTAGGGAAGAAGATAGTATGAAAAATAACTAGACCATGAGCTTCATAAGGGCAGGAACTCTAATGTTCTGTTTACCGTTAATGCACATTGTCTGAACTTTAGACACTCAAACGAATGTTGAATGAATGAAAGTTTACACTGTATAATTATGGTTAGAATAACTATATATTATTTATATTTTTATTCTATGGAGTGGATTCAGTCATTCTCAGTCCACTCAATGCTTCCCACCGCTCTATATTAAAACTCTCCTCCAGATATAATCTTTATTATATGACTAGGTGGACCTTCAGAACTACCATGGTCAAGATCTTTGCCCAGAATGAATAAAAAGAGTGACTATTAACAGTAAACCTATTTCTCTCTGTAACTGTTCTACATTAACATATATACACATTCATATATATATGAAGTTAGTCTCTCTGACTTGGCGCCAAGTTAAATTGTGTCCTTATTCAAAGTTATTAGACAGTTTTAAATATTTTACATTTCTGATGAGACTTTGAAAAAGAAGAAAATAAATCACAGCATTTGGGCTCTCCTATGACACCAAATTGCTAGTGACTTTTTTTGGAAACTATCAGCTAAAGCAGAGTATGCATATGTTTAATACAATCTGTAGTTTACATATATATATTCACATACGTTATAAATTTATATGTGTATTATATATTTACATTCATAAATTCTAGACTTTACATATTATGTATATGTATGCATATGAATTGGATAATTTATGATATCTTTCGCTTGAGCTTTGATGATAAGTTAGTAAGAGTCTTAACCTGGGCCAGTCCTTTAAAAGGTTTTGGTTACATCCTATATTTTTAGAAACAAAGAAATGTTATATCTTCATGATTAAGTTTATCTGTGATGCTTTTTTTTTTAATTTTCATAATACAAGACTAAATGTTTCCATCTGATTCTGTGGTTACTTTTTTATTGCCAAAGCTCTGCATTGCTAAGGATGTTATTTAACCATATTCAGTCCAGAATTTTTTATGCTCTTACCTACTTTTTGAGGATTTTCAGATATAATGTAGACTTTTAGAAAAATGAGTTGCCTGCAGTTCTTTGCAAAGGTACAGTCACATCAAGGACTTCGTAAACTGAAAGCCTAACAAAATTTTTTCCATGAAATTCTCTCTAGGTTGTTTTATAGTCTCTAATGCTATATGTTTCAAAGTAACCAAAGCAGCAGTGGGACAATAAATAACATCTTCACTTAACCTGTTCTGGTGTAATCATAATGTCAATTTAAATCAATTTAAATTTGCATTATTAAGTAATTTGCAGACAGGATTTTCAATAATTGAAGATTTAAAGATTTATCATAAATGAGACAAGAGGAGCAAGGCTAATTCACAAGAACTGAGTAAATCTAAGGCTCAAAAGGGCTTCTTAGAAATCTTTCTCCCCAGACTCCTAAATGTTACCCTGGTTACTTGAAAGGCATTTAGGGTGATTCTTTTTTTTTTTTTTTTTTTTTAGCTCAGGAGGATATTGCAAAGAAAATGAGATTATGGCTAAGGGGAAGGCTTACAACTTTCAAAAAACTCATGTATAATATACATATTTATTATATATATACACAATGTATGTATATATATATTATATATATTATAAAACATAAAGTTTGGTAAAAGGTTGTTTATAAACTACAACTTTGAAAAATGAGATATTTCAAACATGCTTTCTGAGAAAGAAAAACAGAAACAAAACTTTATAATTGTCAACATTCCTTGGAAGTGTTCTCAATCATGAAGTGCTAAGAGGGGGCAATTAGAAAATGTGTGTGTGTTGTGATTAAGAATGCAAAGCCAGGCTACAATTTTAAAAACTGGCTCTACCACTTACTAACTGTTGGGGCAACTCTATACCTAACCATATTAGGATGAGCTGAGTTACCATCCAATAACAATCAACCCCCAAAACACAGTGACTTACACAACAAACTTTACTTCTTACACACATAAAACTTACTATAGGTTCTCACAGCCCTCCCGGGCAGCCATGATCCTTCAGTTGGCCTAACATTCCAGGCTGCTTGAATCTTATATCTTCTTCATATTGACAAGGGCCTCTATGTCATCACAGCAGGGAAAGAGAAAGCATGGAGAACCCAAGCATCAATTCAATATTGATTATTGTGAAGTAGGCAGAAAAGAAAATTAAGATAAAGTTAACCTGAACTATTTAAAAATTATATCATTCAATTTTAGAACTTGAAAGGACCTAAAAATAATCCAGTCAAGTCCCCTTATTTTACAGATGTGGAAACAGATACCCAGAGAAAGTATAAGAATTTTTGCCCAAGTTTACACAGACAGCAGTAGCACAGTTTGGAATCAAATTCAGATTTCTCTCCTAGCTCCCTGCTGGCTGCAATTCCACCACCAACCTTTGGAAATGTACTAACACTCTTGCCCCTTCTGTCATATCGTAGAGACAAGGGCAGCATGGTGGTTAGGTGTCCTGTCCCTTTTCAAAAATATATTTAATAGAAAACCCAGAGATGATGGTAATGACAGAAGGAATGTCCCCAAGCCTCAAGTGGTATTGTGACAGCCGTTATTTATTTCCACTCATTGCATTTGAACAATGTGATACGTATTGTCCAACCCCACTAAAACTCCAGGGTTAAATACCATATGGAAAGGTAACCCAGAGCCTTCTTAATCACACTACGCTGCAAGGTCTATTACTATCAGTAGGAAGAGCCAGAGTGCTGAGCTAGCTGTCACAGGTGGCTGAGTGAAGGGGAAATCAAACAATGTCAAGATAAGTGAAGGGCCCACTGTTTATTGAAGGTTATGGCTGGCAATGACTAATACAATTACTTTTCCCTTGAACAGATTCAGGTTCAAAATGTAGCTTCAGTTACCTCTAAAATGAAAGGAATGTTCAGAGTTCTATTGCCACTTCCATGTACTTAGACCATTACCAAATGAATGTTCTCCTTTCCCTTTCCCTGCTTTCCTTCAGACTCCAGCACTGTGTGTGGAAAGACAGCCCTCAGGTCATGATGCTGAGCTGAGGAGGAATACTACCCCCAAAGCATCCTGGGAAATGCTTGACCAGAACTATTGCTGTCTGTTACTTCTTTGCTAAACCACTCATCTTGCAAAACCAACGAGGTGGGAGGGAGACACAAGAGGAAGGAGATATGGGGATATATGTATATGTATAGCTGATTCACTTTGTTATAAAGCAGAAACTAACACACCATTGTAAAGCAATTATACCCCAATAAAGATGTTAATTAATTAATTAATTAGTTTAAAAAATGAGTTCAGAGACTCAATTGTTGTACAAAACACCCCAATACTCTGGTTAAAAATGTTTTTGTGAGATAACTTCCTTTTTACTCCCTATATAATGCCATCTGACTTTAACAACTAGAAATATTATTTATTCAAATGGAAGCTTGCTTACTTTATGACATTGACATAAAATAGTTACATGGCTAAAGTTAGAACGGCTCCACCCAAAGATTCTGCAAAATCTTTAGTGTGGTGAGGACCATAATGACATTCTTATTAGTAAGTACAATACATATTTTTAAAACAAACAAAGCTGGTACCTCCTATTTTCTTAAAAATGGCATTGATGATATTCTTCCTGCAGTGGATTATGGAACAGAGAGGTCTAGATAAGAGTAAAAGCAGCCCCTTAGTAGAGTAGCTTGGACTCTCAAAGCAGTTATCTGTCATTCACATCAAGCCTGAGCAAGTATTTGGGTTAGTTTTATATGTCAAAACCGAAGGGGAAGGCTTAGCAAAAACATTGTCTCTTGCTCCGAATAAGGCAGGCTGAGGAGATGTACATCATTTCGCTCACACACTGGACTCCCCTCCCTTTTGTTCCTGCTTCTCTCCTGCTTGGAGCTGACTCCTCCTTCCTGCAGCTCTGAGGATCACAGGCTGATTGAAGAACACAGCGGTTCCGATGGGGAGCTGTGCTCAGTGACTCACTCTCTCTCTCATTTTCTCTCTGTCTCTCTGTCTCTGAACCGGCAAAGCTGAAAACTGCCTGAAAAGCTCTCTGCCTTTGAATCCAGCTCTGGAACCAAATGCATCATTTTACTGCTCTTAAAAACTGAATAGAGTTTGATTACCTCAAGCCAAAGCTGCTTTGCTCCATAAGAAGGACCCGAAAGGACCCACACATCATTGTTTTTCAATCTACTTGAGGAGGTTTTGCTTTCATGCCTGAAACGTGCTGGTTTCAGGAGGGAGTTTTTGGTTTGTCTGTTTTTAATTGAAATGTTGAAAAGTTTCTTATTGCTGCTTTAAGTGGAACCCAATTTTAAAATATGGGTTGAGTCAGATCTAAAGGAGAGTTGTCCATTTTCTGCCAGGACTGACTGGTGAACATCTTGAGGGAAACTTGGTAGGAGATAATGAGATCTGATTTGCAACTAACAGCCATGCTTAATTTTGAGAATATTTATAGACTCATTGAAAAAGAAATTAAATATTGACCAAGGATAATGTCTGTATTTCTCAGTAACTTATCAACAAATGACTCTAGCCTGTGGAAAGAAAATCATAATTCGACAGATCTTTTAAATCCGCCAGGAACCGTGAATATATATCTTTTTTGCCTGACATGCTTAATGACTCTCGCAGCCCTGGCAGGCAGCATTTATTCACTAGTTTCCCTAATGAAAACGCGGAACAGAACTGTTGTGTCCATGCTTGTGGCTTCCTGGTCTGGGGATGATCTCATGAGCGTCTTGTCGGTGACCATCTTCATGTTTTTGCAGTGGCCAAATGAGGTCTCTGACTACTTCCAGTCTCTGTGCACCACCTCTGCCTTACTATATTTATGCCAGGGCCTCTCGAGCAACTTGAAGGCGACTCTCTTAGTCTCCTACAACTTTTACACGATGCACAGGGCTGTGGGGAGCCAGGCAGCCTCCAGAAGATCCGGCCAGGTGCTCGGCGTGGCGCTGACGGTGTGGGCAGCCAGTCTGCTGCTCTCCGCGCTTCCTCTGTGCGGCTGGGGCGCCTTTGTACGCACGCCTTGGGGCTGCCTGGCCGACTGCTCCAGCTCCTACGTGCTGCTACTTTTCGCTGTGTACACTTCGGCCTTCGGACTCCTCGCCGGCCTCTCGGTCCCCCTCACTCACCAGTTGCTGTGTTCGGAGGAGCCACCAAGACTCCACGCCAACTACCAGGAAATTTCCCGCGGAGCTTCCACTCCAGGGACCCCTTCAACGCGGGGGAGAGTGCTTTCCCCGTCCCCAGATGATGCTCCGGGCCCGGCCCTGCGGTGCTCGGGAGGATGCTCCCCGAGCTCGGACACCGTGTTTGGACCGGGTCTGCCCGCGAGGGCAGGGCTGGGGCCGGGGCGCGGTGCTACCGCTGTGGCTGGAGCCTGCAGGCGTGAGGACCGGGGGACTCTCTATGGCACCAGGAGCTTCACCGTGAGCGTAGCGCAGAAGCGCTTTTCTTTGATCTTAGCGATGACAAAAGTCACCCTTTGGCTACCCATGATGGTAAAAGTGCGGTTGCTCACAGCGCGCGGGGGGGTGTGCCAGGCAGTATGAGTGCGTGTTGAGACCACCCTCCCCGGTTTGGAGGGTCACCCAGAGACGTGCATTAAGTCCGCTTACGAATGTATCTCGCTTGGTTTTAGAGAAGCACTTGGAGGAAGGCAGTTCATGGGTAGGACTAGCAGCCGCGAAGCCTTTGCTGCTAAGTGCTTCTCGGTTCAAAACTGGGGAGGAGGGGCTTCCCTGGTGGAGCAGTGGTTGGGAGTCCGCCTGCCAGTGCGGGGGGTGCGGATTCGTGCCCCGGTCCCTGCGCGTCCGGAGCCTGTGCTCCGGAACGGGAGGGGCCACAGCAGTGAGAGGCCCGCGTGCCAAAAAAAAAAAAAAAAAAAGAAAAAACTGGGGAGGAGTATGGGGAGCGCTTTCAGGCGCGAGAGACTTAGTTTTCTGAGATCTCTCATGGTCAAGGGTGTCCTTTTCTCTCGTAGCGATATCTGGGAGTATTCAGTAAAGAGGGTTTTTGCCCCCAATCCTCTGTCATGCCCTTCTCTCTGCTCCATTCCTCCCTAGTAAGGACACCGCCCATCCCCAGCAGGGAGACAGGAGAGGCGTGGTCAGGAGTAGAGACAGCAGAAAGTAGAGAAAACAGGCTTTTGTTCAAGCCTCCAGGAAAGAGCCCAGCTGAGAGGTGGCAGGTGGTGCCCTAGTGTGACAAGCATAACCTGGCAGAGGTGAGGGGCCAGGGATGTGACAAAGGACATCTGGAGTACCAGGTACAGGTTTCACACATGCTTGCCTGTTTTCTGGGATAGCATTTTCTGTATTGTGACTGTGTTTCCCCAGTGGAAACTTGAGCTGGCAGCTAGCACAGACCAGGCTGTCAAGAGTGGAAACCCTCAAAGCCTGTGCAGTCTGGAGCAGCGGGCCTCCTCCCAAGGATTCCCAGTCCATCACCCAAACTGAGGATGCCAGCCCAGGAATAGAGCTTCTGGCTCTCAGACAGGAAAGGGCCCTGGAGGAGGGAGCTGGGGCAGCATGCTTGAGGGAAAGGCTTGGCAAAATGGAAAATGTTATCCTAGGATAGGTCTGAAGCTCTCTGCTTTTGCAGATCCACATGGTGGTCCAGCACGTCGTGGGGTTTCAGAGCCTTCCCTTTGAGACGCTCAGCTTTCTGCTAACCCTCCTGGCCACCACTGTAACTCCAGTGTTTGTCTTGTCCAAACACTGGACACACTTGCCCTGTGGCTGCATCATCAACTGCAAGCAGAACACATATGCAGTGACGTCTGATGGGAAAAAACGTAAGTCCTGAACAGTGCAGAGGTTGGGACAATATGCCTATGGTCAAATACAGAAAGGTGGTCTGTTGAGAGAGTTGCCTTAGTAGGGGATGAAGAGTCCAAGGACAAATGAAGTGGTAAATGGAAGAAATTATAATGTGAAACAATTGTTAGCACAATATTGGAGTAAGTTTTAAATGAGGCAAGTTTAAAACAGCTCTGTGAACTGCTTGTACATTGAATAATTATTTTAGGTAAGAAAAGAAGAGAATTTATTCAAAACAGCATGAAGTCAACAAAGGCCTTTAGGTGTTATATCTACCACAGCTCTTAGCCTAGAGTAGAAAATAACTCCCCCTCCCAAATCTACGTATGAGAAGTCTGCATCTTTGAAAAGTTAAAAACTCATTATACTAAAGTTCATTATTGCTGAGTGGAATAGTAAAGAAATGCATTTTCTTTAGTTTGCTGCTTATATTCTTCCAGGGTTTTGGAAAGTTTTCAGAGTAAGCAATAGGAGTGACTAAAAACAGTTCCAAAACAAATTTTAAGTGTTTGCCTCTGCTTTTAGAAAACATACATATATACACAAAACAACCCCACAAACACCTATAATTTCAAAAAAGGACAAAGGTGGCAGAGTTTGTCAATGTATGTTCATGTATGAATCTAGCCATGCCAGTTACTTAAAACAAACAAACAAACCAAAACAAAAAACCAACTATGTTCTAAAGAGTACCTCTAGACCAAGAGTGCGGTCAATTATAAAACTCACTAGAGTGTAATTGTTCCTATTCTGAGACAGGAAAAGTTGAAGAATGACCTGTATATTTTGACTCTTCCATAAGGAAAAGGATATTTTTTTGTCATTCCAGACAAAAGATAGGATGTTCTACCATTTAATAAATCCAAGACTGCATTAGTGTATGCTGAATTAACTGTTCCATTAATTGTCCTTTGCTCAGAATAAGCAAGTATATTATTCTTTAACAGAGAAGAAAGAATAAATAAAAACAGTCCATCTTAGACTATTTTAGGGCTATGAAAACTGGAGACTATTAAAGAATATTCTGCAATCAGTTCTTCAACAGGTTTATTTTATAAACATTAAATAGTCATGAACTGGTCATTTTCCATGTATTCATGACATTTAATGTCTAGATAATTTTCAAATGACCAGAAGATTTTTTTAGTGTTAAGGATGCCATGAAGTTTTATTGTTAATAGATGCCAAATTCATCTATGCCCTTAAAATAAAATAACCATGGAACTTGTGATAATTATGTGCTTTTGGATATTAATATCCAGAGCAACAGTGACACAGAAAATTAATAATAAATCTTTTTGAACCACATAGAAGAACATAGAACATGTAAAAATCACTTACAAGCCTGAAAGTTCTACCATTCTATCAAACATTAATATTTTGTCACTAAATTAATGAACTAACCCCATCTTATAGTATTTAAAATTGTGAGAGAGACAAGAAGAGTTTAGGGCAGTCATTTTTAAGAACTGAAGGGCACCTTTATCAGAGCTGAAAACAAAGCAATGCAACAGATCTATCACTATAAATGGTCTAGGAAGCGCTTCTGTCTTATACTGCACAAAATAGAAGAAACTACAGCAGACTAGCAGAATCAATAATCCTGCCAATATCTCATGTTTGAAATTAGAACCATGCCTTTCAAGATCAAAATAATATTTTTCCTCTAAAATTATCGTTGCCCTTATTTGTATTCATTTTAAAATTTCAGGGAAGGTGTTGAAATGTGAGCTTAGAGAGGCATGGCTTCGAAAATAAAATGTTGTGAGAAACGTTAGTTTAAAATGGCTCCATTCTCTCTTTTTTTTTTTTTTTACATCTTTATTGGGGTATAATTGCTTTACAATGGTGTGTTAGTTTCTGCTTTATAACAAAGTGAATCAGCTATACATATACATATATCCCCATATCTCCTCCCTCTTGCGTCTCCCTCCCACCCTCCCTATGCCACCCTTCTAGGTGGTCACAAAGCACTGAGCTGATCTCCCTGTGCTGTGGCTGCTTCCCACTAGCTAGCTATTTTACATTTGGTAGTGAATATATGTCCATGGCACTCTCTCACTTGATCCTAGGCTCTGCCACAGAAAAATTATAAGAATGATGTACTTTCCTTGTCTGAGGACCCACCATAAATTTTCCTATTGCTAGGATGACACAAAAACAGAATTTTGAAACTCCAAAGATGGCTCATCCTCTGGTGGGCAGGTGCTTGATCAGTTATAGTACTTTGATTCTATGTAGTTATAGTACTTTGATGGCTCCAGTGTCACATTTAAGCTTTTTCTCCTTAACAAATTAATATCCCCCTTTTACATTCTTTTGCTGGGAACTCCAGAAGCAAGAAAAGGAAACTATTTTTTCCTAACTCATATTTACCGTAGGTTCATTTTGGTGATGTAAGCATAATTCTACATCTCAGCTTCACTGTATGGATACTGAGAGACATGCAGCCAGAATATGAATGTCAGTAATGGAAAATAATTTCCAGAAATAATAGTTCTCTCCTGTTTTCAACAATAATCTGTATTACTAGTGTCTCAAAACAAAAGTTGTTTAAAAAAGCTGGTTTTAACACAGAGGTCTGAGGTGGTAGACGTATGGATTGAATATGGCTTTCAGACCCATTTGGTTTGCATGACATGATGCGTTCTTTTTTAAATTAAATAAACAGTTAAAATAAAATATTTTCTATAAAAATCAGATTTTCAGCTTCTGTTTTTTGACAAAGTCAAAGTATCTGCTGACATGTTACTCTGAAGAATTATGTATATTTATAAGCTGATATAATTACTTATGTCTAAAATTGTCATTAGTAAGATGTGATTAAAAGCAGAAGACTAGAGCTATTTCATGCCTTATCCAGGGTTTTGCTTTTCAGAGCAAATGTAACATTATACTTATTTTTCATAAGTGTACTATAGACTTCAAAAGACCCTGACTCTATTCCTCTAAGTTTCTTGTAAGTTACTAGTCAAATATTGTCAACTCTGTTTTGTTGTTATAGCCTATTACCTTCATTGGTTAGTCAGAATTTACCTCTAGTGTTAAGGAAAAGTCAATAACAAGAAGTGTTTCTATTGGTTACATTTCATAATTAATGTACTTCCCTTAACTCAAAGATAGCACATCAGGGACATTCTGCTTCCATTAACATATTTCATGGATCTGATTAGCAGTAAAGCAATTTCACATAGAGGTTAATGACTTCAATTCTGGAGTCAGCTTTAAATTAAAATCTCTTTACCAGGTAAGTAATCTTAGGTAGGTTTCTTCTATCAGCCCCAGTTTTCTCAAATGCAAAATAGAACCAATATGCCTTTTATTATGTAGGGTTGTTGTTTTGTTAAATGTCATGACCTTTGTGCATAACTGTCCCTGGAATGCTCTAGTTCTCCACTGTATCTTTCTCAATCACACTTCCTTCTCATAGCCTACCTCAGACTGCTTCTTGCACCCAGTGATGTGGAAGGAGATTTTCCACCGACACATTCTGCACAGTTCTTTAAAAACCTTACTCACTTTTGTTTTATATATTTCATAGTTATAATACACAGATAATAAAATACATAGCCATAGATATCCATTTATATGATAAAATTGGGATTTTATGACAGTTTTTGTTTGCTTAATATGCTTGAATTGACCACTTGTCACTTTATAACTTTTTTTTAGAGAAAAAGGAAACCCAACAATAACTAAAACGTCCTTTTAGTTCCTTCAGCTTTCACACTATTAAAGTAACTTAAAAATTCTAATTTAATTTTACTGGACTATATTACTAGAAAAAGTTAAGTAGTACTGTAAATGAAATAGTATATAATGTTAACATCTGTTTCTACTTTTCCATTTTCTTTGAATAGAAATTTTTGTTTGTATCCTGGCTCAATGAATGTTTTGGCTCAAATAATGAGTGATACCTATAAATTCTCTTTCAGTCAGCAGAATTGGTTTGTAAATCTTCAGTTCTGAGACTATTTCAGTAATAGAATCAGCATATGAATGACATGAGGTTGTATTGTAAAATGAATCAAATTTTACCTGTTCTCATAGAAATTTTATAGTTTTTAATAAATTTTTCCACCAAGGATAGCTAAATGTGAGCTAATAAAACACAGAACTATCCAAGTAGAAAAAAAGTTTTGAAATGAGCCATGTTTGAAAGATGAAAATCAAAACATTACATTGCATTTTGTCTACCATCTTGATATAGCTTAATTCTTAATACACAAAAATTATCTAGTATTTAATGACGTTCACATACAACAATTGTATCACTTCTGTCACATTCTCATGTGTTATTCTACTAAGACTTTATACAGTATTCACCAAATAGTAGTGCTATATGTAAGATACCATCATATTTCGCCTGATTTAAACCATGGAAAGTTTTATGTGTTCCTGCTAAACTGCTCTTGTAGTTAATCAGGTATATACATGTTGTAAAGTGCTTCAGTTCACAGAAATATGTCTATATACTCTTCTTTAAAATTCATTTCAAATTTATTCAGAAATGTACATATTATTTTTAAAAGTTTAAAAACTGTATTGTAGCATTATCTAATTTTTACTGTATGCATTTATAAACATATAAATGTCAGGAATGGTATACATCAAAATATTTAAAGCAGTTATATCGTTGTTGGTATTGCCAGCAGAATATCTCCAGTAATATTAAGAGCTTTTTAATAATTAAGTTGTAGCAAAATAAAATTTATAAACAATGTATTTTATCCCCAAGTAAAGAAATGTAGAGATAATTGGTAGACTGATAGAGCTAAAACTAAAACTGAGTGGATATGAGACTATTCTAATTTATGGATCAATATTTTACATAAAATTTCTTTAAAGACTTCAGTGTTCTGGGGTTGTATGTATTTCAAGCCTTCCATTGTGTAAGTGAGAACAGTTAGGCCCAGAGTGATAAGATGGTTGAATTTGTGAGGCACAGTTGCTTTGCATAATTGACAAGAAGTAAACGAAGATAATTCAACTAATCAGGTTGAATTCACTTTCCTATTTTTATTCATTTTGCATATCCAAGCACTGTTTATATCTATCTTCCTAATCATGGAATTTTGTTTTTGTTTTTACATAGCCAAGAGGAGATGCTTTGAATTCAATCTATCATTTCAACGAAGTTATGGAATTTATAAAATAGCACATGAAGATTACTATGATGATGATGAAAATTCAACATCCTATCACAATCCCATGAACTATGAGTGCAAAACTACAAAAGACTCTCAGAGAGACTCTCATAATGTATTCAATGCCATAAAGGTGGAAATCAGCACCACGCCCTCTCTGGACAGCTCCACACTAAAAGGCATCAACAAATGCACAAACACTGATATTATAGATGCTAAACAGGATTCCCACAATGAAAAGGGTGTTGATCCACTGCTCTCTGAAAAAACAGAAGGTGATATTAAATATGATGAAACCACCCTTTTGGAAGGGCCAGAAAGAAGACTTTCTCATGAGGAGAGTCAGAAACCAGACCTTTCAGACTGGGAATGGTGTAGGAGTAAATCAGAAAGAACCCCTCGTCAGGTACAGTAAAGGTTGTTATTCCTCTTAAATTAAAAGTAATACCAAATATGACAGCATGCAAAAGAATTATCCGTTGCTTATTTCATTCATCCAACTCCAAGGTTATCTTCACTTAACTCAATTAATTTCCATAATATTAAGTTTTATTTCAAAGTGTCTTTTAAAAATTTTTTAATTCTACATTTTCAGTCAAATTCTATCTATTTTGGAATTGGCAGAGCCAAACAGGATCTTTGAGACGAGCCTCTATTTTAACCTCAAGTAATCTGTGTAAATTCAGACTAGACTCTCAAAACTTATTTCAAATTAGTAAACTTGTAGGTTTTATATTTTTTCTTCACCTGAAAAGTTTACACAAGTGTCCAAAACAGGTTTTGGGGCAAATGTTTATCCAACTACCAGTAAACAGGTAGTCCTTTTGCAACTCTACTATTCACATAGCTTGGCTATTAGTCTTTTTTTTTGTTTTAAATTTTATTTCTTTATTTTTTTATACAGCAGGTTCTTTGTTTTTTAAACATCTTTATTAGAATATAATTGCTTTACAATGGAGTGTTAGTTTCTGCTGTATAACAAAGTGAATCAGCTATACGTATACATATATCCCCATATCCCCTCCCCCTTGCGTCTCCCTCCTATCCTCCCAATCCCACCCCACTAGGTGGACACAAAGCACCGAGCTGATCTCCCTGTGCTATGCAGCTGCTTCCCACTAGCTATCTATTTTACATTTGTTAGTGAATATATGTCCATGCCACTCTCCCACTTCCTCCCAGCTTACCCTTCCCCCTCCCCATGTCCTGCAGTCCTTTCTCTATGTCTGCATCTTGATTCCTGTCCTGCCCCTAGGTTCTTCAGAACCATTTTTTTTTTAGATTCCATATAGATTGTGTTAGCATACAGAATTGGTTTTTCTCTATCTGACTTACTTCACTCTGTATGACAGTCTCTAGATCCATCCACCTCACTACAAATAACTGAGTTTCATTTCTTTTTATGGCTGAGTAATATTCCATTGTATACATGTGCCATATCTTCTTTATCCATTCATCTGTCAATGGACACTTATGTTGCTTCCATTTCCTGGCTATTGTAAATAGAGCTGCAATGAACATTGTGGTACATGACCCTTTTGAATTATGGTTTTCTCAGGGTATATGCCAGGAGTGGGATTGCTGGGTATTATGATAGTTCCATTTTTAGATTTTAAGGAATCTCCATACTGTTCTCCATAGTGGCTGTACCAATTCACATTCCCACCAGCAGTGCAAGAGTGTTCCCTTTTCTCCACACCCTCTCCAGCCTTTATTGTTTGTAGATTTTTTGATGATGGCCATGCTGACTGGTGTGAGGTGATCCCTCATTGTAGTTTTGATTTGCATTTCTCTAATGATTAGTGATGTTGAGCATTCTTTCATGTGTCTGTTGGCGATCTGTATATCTTCTTTGGAGAAATGTCTATTTAGGTCTTCCGCCCATTTTTGGATTCGGTCGTTTGTTTTTTTGATATTGAGCTGCATAAGGTGCTTGTATATTTTGGAGATTAAATCTTTGTCAGTTGCTTCATTTCCAAATATTACTCCCATTCTGAGGGCAGTCTTTTCGCCTTGTTTATGGTTTCCTTTGCTGTGCAAAAACTTTTAAGTTTCATTAGGTCCCTTTGTCTATTTTTGTTTTTATTTCCATTTCTCTAGGAGGTGGATCAAAAAGGATCTTGCTGAGATTGATATCATGGAGTGTTCTGCCTATGTCTTCCTCTAAGAGTTTTATAGTGTCTGGCCTTACATTTAGGCTTTAATCCATTTTGAGTTTTTTTTTGTGTATGGTGTTAAGGAGTGTTCTGATTTCATTCTTTTCCATGTAGCTGTCCAGTTTTCCCAGCACCATTTCTTGAAAAAGCTGTCCATTCTCCATTGTATATTCTTGCCTCCTTTATCAAAGATAAGGTGACCTTATGTGCGTGGGTTTATCTCTGGGCTTTCTGTCCTGTTCCATTGATCTATATTTCTGGTTTTGTGCCAGTACCACACTGTCTTGATTACTATAGCTTTGTAGTCAGGGAGCCTGATTCCTCCAGCTCCGTTTCTCTTTCTCAAGATCGCTTTGGCTATTGGGGGTCTTTTGTGTTTCTATACAAATTGTGAAATTTTTTGTTCTAGTCCTGTGAAAAATGCCATTGGTAGTTTAATAGGGATTGCATTGAATCTGTAGATTGCTTTGGGTAGTAGAGTCATTTTCACAATGTTGATTCTTCCAATCCAAGAACATGGTATACCTCTCCATCTGTTTGTATCATCTTTAATTTCTTTCACCAGTGTCTTATAGTTTTCTGCATACAGGTCTTTTGTCTCCTTAGGTAGGTTTATTACTAGGTATTTTATTCTCTTTGTTGCAGTGGTAAATGGGAGTGTTTCCTTAATTTCTCTTTCAGATTTTTCATCATTAGTGTTTAGGAATGCCAGAGATTTCTGTGCATTAATTTTGTATCCTGCTACTTTACCAAATTCATTGATTAGCTCTAGTAGTTTTCTGGTAGCATCTTTAGGATTCTCTATGTATAGTATCATGTCATCTGCAAACAGTGACAATTTTACTTCTTGTTTTCTGATGTGGACTCCTTTTATTTCGTTTTCTTCTCTTATTGCTGTGGCTAAAACTTCCAAAACTATGTTGAATAGTAGTGGTGAGAGTGGGCAACCTTGTCTTCTTCCTGATCTTAGTGGAAATGGTTTCAGTTTTTCACCATTGAGAACAATGTTGGCTGTGGGTTTGTCATTTATGACCTTTATTATATTGAGGTAGGTTCACTCTATGCCTACTTTCTGGAGGGTTTTTATCATAAATTGGTGTTGAATTTTCTCAAAAGATTTTTCTGCATCTATTGAGATGATCATATGAATTTTCTCCTTCAATTTGTTAACATGGTTTATCATATTGATTGATTTGCATATATTGAAAAATCCTTGCACTCCTGGGATAAACCCCACTTGCTCATGGTGTATGATCCTTTTAATGTGCTGTTGGATTCTGTTTGCTAGTGTTTTATTGACGATTTTTGCATGTTCATCAGTGATATTGGCCTGTAGTTTTCTTTTTTGTGACATCTTTGTCTGATTTTGGTATCAGGGGGATGGTGGCCTTGTAGAATGAGTTTGGGAGTGTTCCTCCCTCTGCTATATTTTGGAAGAGTTTGAGAAGGATAGGTGTTAGCTCTTCTCTAAATGTTTGATAGAATTCACTTGTGAAGCCATCTTTCCTGGCCTTTTCTTTGTTGGAAGATTTTTTTTTTTTTTTTGCGGTACGCGGGCCTCTCACCATTATGGCCTCTCCCGTTGTGGAGCACAGGCTCCAGATGCGCAGGCTCAGCGGCCGTGGCTCATGGGCCCAGCCGCTCTGCAGCATGTGGGATCTTCCTGGACCAGGGCACTAACCCGTGTCCCCTGCATCGGCAGGCGGACTCTCAACCACTGCACCACCAGGGAAGCCCTGTTGGAAGATTTTTAATCACAGTTTCAATTTCAGTGCTTGTGATTGGTCTGTTTTTATTTTCTATTTCTTCCTGGTTCAGTCTCAGATGGCTGTGCTTTTCTAAGAATTTGTCCATTTCTTCCAGGTTGTCCATTTTATTGGCATATAGTTGCTTGTAGTAATCACTCATGATCCTTTGTATTTCTGCAGTCTCAGTTGTTACTTCTCCTTTTTCATTCCTAATTCTATTTATTTGGGTCTTCTCCCTTTTTTTTCTTGATGAGTCTGGCTAATGGTTTATCAATTTTGTTTATCTTCTCAAAGAACCAGCTTTTAGTTTTATTGATCTTTGCTCTCCTTTCCTTCATTCTTTTTCATTTATTTCTGATCTGATCTTTATGATTTCTTTCCTTCAGCTAACTTGGGGGTTTTTGTCCTTCTTTCTCTAATTGCTTTAGGTGTAAAGTTAGGTTGTTTATTTGAGATATTTCTTGTTTCTTGAGGTAGGATTGTATTGCTATAAACTTCCCTCTTAGAACTGCTTTTGCTGCATCCCATAGGTTTTGGGTCGTCATGATTTCATTGGCATCTGTTTCTAGGTATTTTTTGATTTCTTCTTTGATTTCTTCAGTGATCTCTTGGTTATTTAGTAGTGTATTGTTAGGCCTCCATATGTTTGTATTTTTTACAGATTTTTTCCTATAATTGATAGGTAGTCTCATAGTGTTGTGGTCGGAAAAGCTATTTGATACAATTTCAATTTTTTTAAATTTACCAAGGCTTGATTTGTGACCCAAGATATGATCTATCCTGGAAAATGTTCCATGAGCACTTGAGAAGAAAGTGTAATCTGCTGTTTTTGGATGGAATGTCTTATAAATATCAATTAAGTCCATCTTGTTTAATGTGTCATTTAAAGCTTGTGTTCCTTTTTTTATTTTCATTTTAGATGATCTGTCCATTGGTGAAAATGGGGTGATAATGTCCCCTATTATGATGGTATTACTGTTGATTTCCCCTTTTATGGCTGTTAGCATTTGCCTTATGTATTGAGGTGCTCTTATGTGGGGTGCATAAATATTTACAATTGTTATATCTTCCTCTTGGATCGATCCCTCGATCATTATGTAGTGTCCTTCTTTGTCTCTTGTAATATTCTTCATTTTAAAGCCTATTTTGTCTGATATGAGAATTGCTACTCCAGCTTTCTTTTGATTTCCATTTGCATGTAATATCTTTGTCCATCCCCTCCCTTTCAATCTGTATGTGTTCCTAGGTCTGAAGTGGGTCTCTTGTAGACAGCATATGTACAGGTCTTGTTTTTGTATCCATTCAGCCAGTCTGTGTCTTTGGGTTGGAGCACTTAATCCATTTACATTCAAGGTAATTATCAATCTGTATGTTCCTATTACCATTTTCTTAATTGTTTTGGGTTTGTTATTGTAAGTCTTTTCCTTCTCTTGTGTTTCCTGCCTAAAGAAGTTCCTTTAGCATTTGTTGTAGAGCTGGTTTGGTGGTGCTGAATTCTCTCA